AGGGATCGAATCTTAGTCCCTACTTCTGCCTAAGCACGTGCTTTGATCCTCTGAGCTATCCGGTCAGCCCTATCTAGCAATACTTTCTACTGGGAGAAACCAAGAAAGGTACTTTCCGAATCACTTAGCGTCTGCCTAAGAGATAGGCAGTATGCCCCTTCCATCGGTGTCTCATCGATGGTATTATGAGTAAGTAGAAGACTACAGCCAACAGAAGCGGGTACAGTGAGGCCTCTATGCAGGCACCACCTGCAAAGCCCCTCCTTCTCCTCTTCTAGGCATACTGTCTTTCAGACAGCTAAATATATATTTTTTTCTTTCTTTTTTTTTTCCTTTTCTTTTCTGAGACAAGGTCTTGTTATGTAGTCCAGTCTAACCTTGAATTCACTAAGTAGTCCAGGCTGTTCTTGAGCTTGCTAAGTACCTCAGGCATGCCTTGAACTTGTGGTGATCCTCCTGCCTCAAGCTGCAGAGTCCTGGAATTGTAGGCCTGCACTGGCATGCCCAGCCCAAGTGCGTTTCTGCTTTAGTTCCTTCTACCTATAGAACTCTTTTCATTTTGGGGGCACTGGAGGGTAACAGGATTGAACTTGGGTCCTTGCACTTCCCAGGTAAGTGCTTATTGCCACTGAGCTGTGTGCCTGGCCCCTGAACTTCTTTCTAAAATTGTGTATAACCAGTTGTTTCTTATCCTTTAGGCTTCAGCTTGTTACCTTCTCAGAGAAATTTTGCGTGACTTCTTCCCTATCCTTGTTTAAAGTGACTGCACATTTCTTTTGTATCATATTTATCCTATCAAACTGCCCTTTCAAATTCGTGTTGAAAAATTACTTTTTCATTTTTTTGGCAGTAGTGGAATTGAACTTAGGACCTCGTACTTGCCGGGCAGGCACTTATGCCACTGAGCTAGCTCCCTGGCCCACCAATTTGGATTAATTACATTCACAAGTAATGTGTATTTGTTTTCCTGTTACTGCCTCTCTTTACTTGAATAAAAGTTTAAAGAGTAGGGCCTCTGTCTGTATTGTCTGGTGTTGTATAATGGGCTAAAAGGCTAGATAAGCAAAAACTCACGGAATAAGCTCCTTTTGGTCCCACGTATGTGAGGATGGTGGTAGGTCATAATATTAGTAGTAGTAATGTAATTAATAGCATGTTTTGGTTCTCTGCAGGTCTGTTGTCACCTCTCTGTGCTTTAACAGCCATTTCATATTTATTTGCTAATCCTGGACTCTAGTAAGATACCAAGAATAACAAAGCATAGTTTTTGCTCCCCTAAGCGTACTGTATCGTAGTAGTAGAGAAAAAGAAAAACCACTTGCAGCTCATAGTAATATGTGTTAGACTTGGGCATAGTGGTGCATGACTGTACCCCTAGCGTTTGGGACGCTGAGGCAGGAAGGTCGCTGTGAGGCCAGCTGTGGCTGCATAATGAGTTCAAGGCCAGTGTGACTACCTGGAGACCCAGTCTTTAATGATGATAATAATATTAAGTACTAAGTTGTATAAAAACTGTCAGAGCTGTGGGTAGTGATGCACACCTGTAAGCTCAGCACTGTGGAAGGCTCATGCAGGAGGGTTCAAGTTTGGGCTCAGCCTGGGTAACTCCAAGACTTGGCAAGACTGTCTGAAAATTTAAAAGGAATAGGGATATAGCTCGGTGCAAAGGGCCTGGGCTAGGCCTCAGTAATAAAGACAGCTATACTGGTGGGGAAGGGTCAGAGTTGTCACTGACTGGGTGGGAATCAGCTGGCGGGCAGAAGGAAACGCTGTCCAGCTGCAGGTGCTTGGTGCCAGCGTAGTGAGCGGGCTGGCGTGCTGCCAGAGCAGGAACTGGTCACGCACACTCAGCCAGAGGACGCAGGTGGAGGAGAAGTCCCTGTCAAGCAAGCAGGGACCAGACCGGAGTCTGTATGGTAGGACATGTTTGACTTTATCTGCAGGAGTCATCAAGGGCTTTAGGACAGTGATAGGATCCAGTTTGCATTCTAGATGGTTCAGGTATCAGATCATACAGGAAAGAGGGTGATGTCCTGTAGATTTTGTTCTAATGGTGGTACTTGACACATTCCAGCTTACCCTGCCACCCCTGTCCTCCAGATTATGTTGGAAGGCAGCACTTCGCTGTATTAATCTTCACATCCCCAGTACCTCTGACTGTTTGAAAGCTGTGTAGTGCGTACCTAAGAATGTTTGTTTGGCGCAGTTATCCAGGTCCAACATGGCATGGCTTGGATCTTAGTTTTATAAATGCCCTGAACCTCTTGCTGGCCAGAGGAGTGTATAAATTGTAATCCAAGGGAAAAGTTATTAAGAGTCCTTGTGAGTAAATTCTAATCTACCATGTCCAATGCAACCTGCATGAGAATAAAGAGACAGAACCGTATGTGCAGTTGTGGGGAGCCAAGGGCGTCCGAAGTCCAGGAGGAACAAGAGCAACTGGGACAGGGACAGGGCTGCCAGGTTTATTAACTTGTGAAGAGGGTTGTGGTTGGGGTGGAGAGACCGTGAGAATGCGGGAAGTACTTGTGTTCTGAGCGCGGGGCTAGGTGGGAGGCATCGCAGCACGTCCGTCCGCCACACGCAGGAAGGTGTGCTGCAGCACTGCCGGAGTAGCGTCCAGCTTTGGAAGAATCCGCATAAGCTTGAGGCCGCAGCCGTTTCCTGGGGCAGCGGCCTCAGCTCTGATGCCTCGGCTCTGAGGCTGGCCGGCCCGCCCGGGCCACGCTGCCTTTCTCAAAGCTCCGTGTGCTCAGCGGCTCTCCCAGGCTCGCACCTCCAAGTTGGGAGCTGGAGGTGGGGCACGCAGACCTG